CCAATCTTTTGTAATTTTATGAATAGAAAGAAGATTCGTGGAGAGTTTAGGAACATGAAGAACATCCTTAAGATGTAAGGACTGCTGTAAGTTTATGTCACCAGATCCCGCAACTGATGTATGAGAGCCATCAGCTACGGCTATTGTATGAGTTCCAATGGTAGGATGATAAGAGGTAAAGGAATCAGCACAACAAGCCAAATCAACAACCCAAGAATGTTTAAAATCATTACATGAAGAAAGGAAAGAATAAGTTTTGGAGCTCATACCAGTCATAGTCAAAGCACTAGTATCAGATGGCTTACTCATAGAATCAAGAATGGTTCGGAGCCGTTCCAACTCATCTGGACGAAATGCAGGTTGGGTCTTATTAGGTGTAGGAGTTATTTCAGAGGAAGTAAAATGCGCTTGACTACGCAACTTTGCCATCTTTTCTAAGACAGATTGCTTTCCATAAAGGCGAAAGCATAAATCCTTGATATGACCTGTTCTTTTACAATAAGAACACCATCGATCATCTCTCTTAGGTCTAGAAGAGGTACCATCATAAAAGTTTGAAAAAGAACTCCTTTGAGAAGAGGCCATACTGCACAGAAAATGGTCAAATAAAAGCTCCAAGAAGCCAAAAAATCACAAATAAATATCAAACGATGTCCGATCAAAGAGAGGAGCACAGATACAGAAAAAGGATGAAGGGACGATCAAGATCGCGGTGGTCCGATCCGGAAATATGATCTCACGCGCCGGTGAGATTGGCTCCGCGTGGGCTTCACTCGCGGTTGAAGGGGAGGCGCGTGCGGTGGCCGTCCGGTCTGAAATTTCTGGAGCAATGTCGTCCGGTGAGCGCGATTCTTTCTGGGTCTGTTTGGAGTTTAAAAAAAAAAAACCACCGGGAAAGGGTCCAATTGTGATGAACAGATGCTGTCTTGTGATGAAGAATAATGTAGACGATGAACAGTAACAGAGATCTTCTCGGTCCAAGAGGTCCCCGGAAAAAAATCCGGTGGCGGCTGATGGCAGCGAGAGACAAAAAATAAAATAAAAGGTTCTTGTTCTAAAGACAATAGGCGCGGAAGCAGAGCCCTCAGGATCGAGAGCTCTGATACCAACTTGAAATAAAAGGGTATTTGAAATATTATTCAATCGTATTTGAATCTGTACATAGGGGTCTCTATTTATAGAGACTTCTTGACCTAATTTTGACCTAATGGGCTTGGCCCAATATACAAGTAACAGACTAAATAAATACAAATAAATGACTACATAATTACTAATAAATGACTACATAATTACTATTTAATACAAATAAATGACTAAATAATTACTAATAAATGACTACATAATTACTATTTACAACACTTGGGATAAAGAGAAAATCGTTATAAAAAAAATAAAAAAATTAGATTATGCAATAATTAAAATAACCGAATTAAATAAAATTAGCGTGTTTTAGGGTTGACAAATAAATGTCCCAAAGTCTTTTTACCACAATGTTTGTGTTTATTTAATTATTTTTTAGTAATTAGTATTTAATTTTAGTATTTGTTTATTAGTAATTAATTATGGAGTATAGAATAATTAATTGAACTTTAAAATTAATATATTTATTAATCAATTTTGTATTTATTATTTGTAAATAGATTCATGGAGCAACAGAACCCGCACCAGACCTTCATTGACCCTGGTCCATTGGTGTCGTCTCTCCTGACGTTGCAGGAGAAACACATTTCGACGTACGTATGGAACAGATCTGGTGACGCAAATTCAGATGATCGTGTACTGAACGTCAGACACGCTGCTTCATGGGATCATCTAAATATACCCGAGGATATCCATCCTTACCTGCAGCAGGCAGAGTTTTATCACATTGCGCGTCTGCGCAACCATGAGGTTGGTGATACATAGAGTAGAAAAATAAAAAAATTACATGTTGTATAGTTAATCAATTGTGATAAAATGTAAAATAATTTTTTATTGTCAGATTGACCACCATCTCATTTCGGCCCTTGTGGAGAGATGGCGTCCTGAGACGCGCACATTCCATATGTCCATGGGTGAGGTGACGATTACTCTGGAGGATGTCCACCATCTGCTTAGACTGCCTACAGATGGAGAGGTTGTATCTGGCCGCGTTGGAGGTCATCCCTTCTCCCAGATGGTGGGAGATTTTTTGGGCGTTCGGCAGGGTCGGTCGCGCGACTTATATAAAAACCAAATTTCGCTTACATTTCTGAGGGAACGGTATCTAAATTGGCATGAATGGTCTGGCAATGAAGTTGACCGTATGCGATACACACGTGCATTGATTTTGCGCATTATAGGTGGTTGCCTCTTCGTTGAGACTGCATCTAGCTTCGTCCATGCGTGGTATCTCCTATTTTTGGATGATTTTCAGAGGACTAGGATGTATTCTTGGGGTTCCGCTGTCCTGGCTACTTTGTACAGGGAGTTGTGCAAGGTTACTGACCCAGGACGATCGGATATGGGTGGCTGTACTCTGTTACTACAATTGTGGGCATGGACACGTTTCCCTACTATCTCCCCAGGAATCCCAGCGATCACCGATCCAGATGCTATTTTTGGAGCAAGGTATGTCTGGTTTTTTTGTTTGTCTTCATTTTCACTGTCTGTTACGTTAATTAGTAATTTTTTGTGTGTTATTGTTTTGCAAATTTAATGAATATGTGTCCATACGACGTCGTTACTCCCACATCAGACGATATCGTCATCACATTGACGTTATGCCTACCCGCAGGATACAGTGGAGGCCATACGACGGATTCGTTGGGCATCCCCCCTCGTCCGAGGAGTCACGCAGATGGTTAGTTGTATGCCCACTCTTACACTACCAGATTGTTGTCTACCAACAGCCGGATAGAGTGCTGAGGCAATTTCATTTTAGGCAGCCGATACCGAGCGATCCTTTCATGAGTTCAGAGCTGCTGACCATCACCCTGACTGGTAAGGGTGATGTTGACTGGAGGGACCGTCATGGACTGTATATAGCGCAGTGGCATTCCAGGGATGCCCTCATTGTGCAGGGTCTACAGCCCTTGCAGAGAGAAGGTCATCTGTCTCCCAACAACACGTACATGCAGTGGTATTTTCAGCATACGCGTAGATGGATGATGCAGAGATCGGCCATTCGTTCTCATGTGGTACGTTAATTTTAGCCCTTGTCATTAATATTGTTACATTTTGTATTTTTTTTTGTAATGACATCATACATTTAACATTATATTCGCTTCACAGAGTGATCGCATGGAGACTGTTCTGCATATGGCATCAGACGAGGCCCAAGGAGCATTCACATATGGCCAGATATACGATGAGACCCTTCAGATGATGTCCGCATTCGATGAGTTTGGCAGACTGACAGAGCCTGGAGAGGCTGCATTCGATGAGCCTGGAGAGCCTGGTAAGTTTCTAGCACCTTTAAGAACCTTGTTAACACACTCCGACAAGTTTGTAGTCATATGGCCAAATCGCCTTCCTTCAACATCGTATGATATACTCCATTTTTCCTTCGGAATTCGATCAATCCATGCTGCTATCTGTGGGCTTGATTCTTTAAATTTTTCCAAACCAGCGTCAAAATCCAATCGCGATGTAGTGTAGCCTGTACATGACAACACATAATTGTTAATAACTAATAACATCAGCGTCATACGATCATTGTAACAAATTAATAAAATTCTAGTGACATCCATACCTAACTTCTTTAACTGCTTCTTCAACATGATGTTTTTGAACTTATGATTGAAATTGCTTGCCAGATGTCTCACGCAAAAAACATGGTACGCTTTGGGTGGTTGCCACCCTAACGCAACATTATTGACGGCTGCCAATATACCTGCATGTCGATCAGAAATAAGGCATATTCCATCTTTCTGAGTCACATAGATCCGTAACATGGCCAAAAACCAGGACCAATTGTCAATATTCTCATAACTAACAACAGCAAACGCTACAGGCAGGACATAATTGTTACCGTCAACAGCTGTAGCGATCATTAGCGTTCCGCGGTATTTTCCATACAAATGTGTCCCATCGATTTGGAGCATAGGCTTGCAATAATTAAAGGCATCACAACACTGTTTGAATGTCCAAAAAACCCTTTTAAACACCTTGTGCGAACCATCGAGCCGACCATCAATCCTATGTTCATTCACATCCAGTTTATAGGCAGACTCATGAGAAAACAATAACATATAATCCAACCATCTTTGTAGAAACGCGTACGACTCTTCCCAATCCCCAAATACCCTCACAATTGCCTTCTGCTTTGATTTCCAGGCTTTTCGGTATGATATATGAAATCCTAGACTTGATGCAATCCTCTCCTGTATTATCACCCAAGTTCGCGGCTGACACAAGCGAACTTGAGAACCAGCAGCTGACTGACACATCATCATGCCTAGTTCGCTACTACTCCCAGCGAACTAGCCCGCGTGGCAGTTTGAAAAAAAAGTTCAGGTGCGTGGCATTTAGGTAAATAACAGTGGGAACAGTGGCACAATGGTCACTGTTCCGAAAATGCAAGCCTGAAAATAGCGTTCTACAAAAAAAAAAATACAAAATAAGGGTTTACCAATAACTTTAGGATCATAACATATCTTAGTATCTAATAAAAAAATAATATATTTTAGTCGTGAAAAACCTTTTTTTTTCCTACGAGTTTTGCACGTCATATTCTAATTATTTCATCATTACAAAAAGATCACATGTATGCTATGCTTGCCTGGAAAAGAGATTTAGCAAATTTAGTAAAAATTATAAAAATTGACCCTATGAACCTAATCCACTGGTTATAACACTTGTTAGCAAGTCTTCGGTGAAAAGTTCAACATCCCATTCATTTTCTTTCACTGTTCCCCTCAATCGGGGCCCCTAACAGATCTCTCTTAAGCACCACTTTAGTGATGGAACCTCTCCCCTACACTCTAGTATATCCAGGGATCATTGAACACTTGGATCGCAAAATAAATAAATAAAGCGCATAAATGGAACATGAATTTATTATAGGATTTGAGAAAAGTCACATGCATGTTTGATATGAATGTCTACTTGTGGTGATAGTAATGGTATTTACACAATTGCAATGATAACAAAAAGAGAAATAAAATGAAAATGAGTTTGTCATCTAAGTTCCCCCGTTGCAATAATGGATGCCATTGCTGTGAACATTTTGGTACTTCTTATTCAGACAATTTACACCCCATATCCGAATTGTCCGGTCATCACTGGCCGAGGCTAACATGTGGGGGTTCGCTGGATTCCAGCTCACACAATTAACAGCTCCTGAATGACCAGGCAATGCCTCTATTAGCTCTCCTGAGCTTCTGTGCCATATGTAAACCTACAAAGATAGAATTGAGATCGAACTTATGTTGATAATTATCCACGTTTATGCAATAGAATTTGATTATATAAGTAGTTAGTTAGATTGTAGCAATAACATTACAGGGGAAGACCCTATAAGCTGTTTGTTTCACATCCAAATGAAAAGAGCTTCCCGGCTTCTAAAATGCTATCAATCTAAGGTACATCTTGTATCTAGACTCCTCATATGAAATTTACTGAACACCAAAACTAGAAACTAGTAAATATAGAGTCTCTTTGGCATTATCTAAAGATGGAAATTGGCAAACTAAAGGCCAACAGAATAAAAAAGCGAACACCAACAGACCTAACTACAGAGCATATCAATCAGAATTGTATAATTACCAAGATGAACCTTGCTTTATCAAGATAAACTAGAATAAATATTACACACGCCTATTACACCTGAACATGTTAATAATTGTAGTTGAATTCATCTTATCAATATTATAATGATGCCCAAAATATATCAATATCACAAAGCATCATTTGGTGAGTCTTTTATGCCAACATTTTAGTTATCCTTTGTAGCCTGCAACAAGTGTCCTATAATCAAACAATCAGTTTTGAAAACATTTGTTCTTTTGCCAGTATAACATAGAAACCTACAAGCACCAAAAGAATTTCAATTTGCAAATTATTAACAAATATACTTCAAAAATATTTTTTTCATTCTGATCAATGAAAAAAGATTTCATACCTGTGAATCCTCACTTCCACTAGCAATAAAAGCTTGCTTAAGTCCGCCAAAGCAAGACCTGATAATAAACCGGGCGCGTCTATGACTTTTGTACTTGCCAACCAGCTTAGGATTACCTTCAATGTTCCATAGATGTATTTCTTGGTTCAAAAGGTTAACCAACAAGAATTTGTTATCCTTTGATAAAGAAAAAGAGGTTATTGTCTGATACTCTTCAATAAATCTCTCACCCTTTGTTTCTCGATTGAACAATAGTATCGCATTGGTTTTACAAATACTTAGAATCTCTTTCCCATCACCCGTTATTTCTAAATCAGAAATCTTAAGGGTTTTTTGTCCTTTCCAAGACTCCACTTCTTTCCCATCTAATTCCCACATGCAAATGCTCTTGTCACTTAAGCCAGACAGTATATATTTCCCACTTGGAAACCATGTACAAGAGACTAGGCCAGCACCAGCTTTTTCATAGATATTGAGGCACTGACCAGTAGAGACATCCCACCGCCTAATAACCTCCTCCACTCCACAAGTGAGGAGCTCTTGGTCATTAGAACTCCATGAAACAGAAGAAACAGGCTTCTGGTGACCAGATAATCTATGCTTCACAGACAGTCCACCATTTATGCCAACCTGTTTTTAAAAAAGAAAACCCAAAATTAAAATCTGAAACCTAATTTCTTAGCATTAAACCATATTTTATTTGTGTGAGTGCAAGCATGCAATTTTTGTGCATTGACCAATGAGAGCATGTTTCTTTGATCTGACAAAAAAGATTACAACTGGGATTTGGATTTGGAGTATGACAATAAAATCAGAACACAAGAAATGAAAACACATTTGATATATAGAAGTAAGAGAACAGAAAAGAAAAACGGAAATTTTCATATTAATATCAAATATTACCTCCCAGATAATTGCAGTTCGATCATTTGATGCTGAAGCTAAATATTTCCCATTATGTGAAAATTGTACAAACCAGACATCATCATCATGTGCTTCTAATATCTGTTGGAATATCAGCAAGAAAAGAAAATAACATCTGAATAGAGATACCACTGATGCTACAGAAAGTAAAGGCAGGAAGACCATTGCAAATAAATAGCAAACGGATTGAACCAGAGGACAGATTCTATTCCTTTTCCCTTTTGTCCTCCCTGGGTTTTGGGGTTGGCTTTCCAAAGAAATCAGATTATAAACATCAAAACCATGTACAAAATTTACCCTGGAATTCAACTGATCATACATTAATGTCATTTTTCACTAAAGGAAGTGCATTTAAATAAGTAAAAATAGGTGAAGGCATTATAGGTAGCAACAGCAGTTGTAAAGTGTTATTATATGTACTATGTAGCTTTATATGGTGAAATGCATGATTCCCACAGAAAGAGTAGCTCGATCAGAATTTTTTTTTTTTTATGCATGTATGGTCAGTAAGTTTCTACAAGGTCCACAGCTCTTGGGACATTAAGATTTAGATCCTCAAATATACTATAGAAGCATTGGATCATGGACTTCCATATGAAGACAAAGGGCATACTCATGTAATTGGGGATGAGTTTTCCATCGGAAAGACATTCTACTTTAAAATTATTGTGTTCTTATTAGCGGAAACTTAGTACTCTCAAAGAGTAATAAGCAAGATATTACAAGGTCAAGTGCAAAAGAAAAATATCGAGGGCATTAGCGACATGTGATCTCATTTTGGCTGAAAAGATGCTTCAAGAATTGAGATTTGGAAAAGCAAAATAGATCCAATTGACTTGCGATAGTTCCAACCCATTCTTTTATGAGAGAAACAAAAGACATGCACAGAGAATATCACATCATCCGAGAGAAGATTCCCTTAGTTAGTTATAATAGTAAATTTGTCAACTTGAATGACCAACTAGCATGTGTTTACTATGTCTTTCCAAAACTATCAAAAATGATCAAATCTTTCACATCATCAATATTTCTTTTACGCAAAGGCAAAAGACACAAAAAATTCACTGGGCCTCAACAACAATCACATCCATTTGCAAGATGCCGCAGTTTAGTATTCACAGCATACTTTATAATCAAAAACTATCACTGAATTTATCAAGAAAAGACAAACGTGAAAACAGGAATAAATACCATATACTGGCCTCAGCACACAATACAGTTTCAAACAAAAAAATTAAAGACAAAAGAAAAGCTAACAACAGAGTTCTAGTCTGTGACAAGCAAACAGAAAGAGGATGCTGTTGTAGCTACCGATTAACAAGTCAACAATGAAGATCTCAATATTTATTAAGAAGAATAGAAGTCGAATAAAAAGATCCCCATATAAAGCTCACAACATCTATTAGACATATCATTTTCTAACCTGTAATGTTCTCGAAGGTATCTGATCTTTTCCACAATGATGATCTGAATATAATGACATTTCCCTGTCCAATGAGTTGTGGAATGGGCAAGCCTCTCGTTGTAAGATAAGGGCTTGTTCAACTAGATGTTCCAACCTATTTTCAGGTATCATTACTGTTGAGGGAAGCAGTTTCTGTAATTCCTCCAGAAGCTTTGACCGAGACCTCACCCTTAAAATATCTTGCCTCGGAGATGGAGACACTACGCAAGAAGAAAGTTCACGAATTCTACTACTATTATTGCAAAGTGGAGCAACCTCTATCCTCAAGGTCTTCAATGCTTCCATGACCTTCTCCCCATTTAGAAGTTCAAAAAATTTCTGCTCCAATATTAAAAATGAGGCTGACTTTACAATGCTTTCATCTATCAGACCTATTTTATGCAATGTGGCTACGCTGTCATCCCAATTTCCATCAAGTATTTGCTGCATAAACAGATTCACCCCAGATGAGTGTAAAGGAATTCCGGACTCCTCCTCTAGATGCGCTCCACTCTTTCTGTAACCAAGAGAATATAATGCCTTTGCAATTATCCTGACAAATTCCTCTCTCTTTATAACCCCTTTGGAACCAACAACTTGTTCGTCCGAAGGGGACGATAGGGGCCGAGCCATGAAATCACGAGACAAGCCTCCAACAGGCTCTATAGAAGAAGAACCGTTAGACAAGCCAACTAATCCTTTAGAGGATAATTTCATGCGTTTCAAGGCTGGTTCTTCATCCTCCACACCTCCCATGAAAAGTGCACCTCAGCCCATATATAATTTCAGCAGTGAGAAAACAATAAACACGAGCATATAACTAAAAATATGCCTCTGAAAAACCGCAAGGAGAAAAATGTCTGCATAGAATATGGTCATGGAAACAGAAACACAACAAGAGTAAGTACAATAAAATTGAACTCCGAACCAGAAGCTAAAACAGCAAACAAAGTCCTCAAACTGAAACAACAAATGAACACAATCCACAAGAAATAAAAAAAAAAAAAGATAAAATAAAACAAATGCAACAATCCAAGTTGTGTTGCTTGAGAACACAATGTTTCCATCAATTTTTATTTTCATCTACCAAAACAAGAGAGGTTGCGCGATTATCTGAAATTTTATAATAATATAAAAAAAAAAAAAAATCATCATCCAAAAAGCGAAGCTGAACTAAAATAAAGAAAGAACATTTTCTGAGGAAACAAACAAAAGCAAACAGATAAAAATCGAAAGCAAAACGTAAAGAGGATATGATAGAACAATCGGCATCAGAAGTCGCAGATCCAATAACTTGAGAAGAAGATGAAGATGGTGATGATCCACCGACTTACCGAACAAGATCGGAACCAAAGTTTGAGGTGCGATCGTGAGTTTAACACCACCGATTCCTTCTTCTTCTTCTGCTTCACACACTTTTTTTTTTCTTCAGTTACCAAAACCACACACGCCGAAAATCCCAGACGCTTCGCCGTTTCGGCCTGTGCCTGGTTGGAATGATAAATATATATATGTCTATTATATAATATATTACATTTATAATTATAATTATTGAAGAAACTTATATTTACACAGTTTTTTATTTATAAATTACACTAAGAATCAAGAAAAATATATGATCAATCATATTTAGTGTAAAAAAAATTGTAAAGATATCCATTTCCGTAATTATTTATATTAATTCATAAATTATATATTATTCTAAGGGATTTCTCTTTTCTTTTTCTTTTTCTCTCTTATCTTTCTACCGTCTCGTGAAATTACAATCACCACCCTTCACTATTTCTTTTGGTTTGGTATATACCTTCCTTGCTTCTTAAACCATCACGCAATTGCTTTCTTAAGACACTTTTCATACGAAACTTGCTTCATTTTCTATATTTATAATCTTCCACCGTCTAAGCAATGCACAAATGTAAATGGGATAATTAAGGCACATTTTTACGTACGTATATTTATTAAGTCATGGACATTTTAAACTATTGAGTCATGTTCATGTAGGATATTTTTATTTTTTAGTGACACGTTCATTATTTGTTATAATAAAATGCAAATAAATACATGTCCAATTGGAAGTTTCTTAAAATGGTTTTACTAATTGATGAGCGGTTATTTGTTAACTCCATTTGTGCGGAGGTACTAACTTTGGAACAAAACCGCAGTGTGAAGATAGGATGATCCCTTTGTAGGGAAAAGTGCAGGAATGACTCAATAGTTAATTATTGTAAAAAATTAATTCAATAATTAAAGACCCATCAATAGTTTATATACTTTGTAACACGTTCCATTACATAAGAATTTATTGGGCCGTACCCCGAGGATAAGCCAAAAAATCTTCGGTTGGGAGATTAGTATCGTCCTTTCTCCAATTGCGAAGCTTAGTGCACCCACTATTACAATGAGGGGCTAGCCCAAACGGGCCGTACCCCGAGGGCATGGTGCCCGGAGAAGGTTGAATGGGGATACCTCCTGGCAATGTACCAAAAAAAAAAAAAAAAAATTATTGGGCTCAAAGAGTGAATAATGCACAGACCTACCTAGCTAAGAAACTCCACAAGACTTAATTATTTATTAATTAAATAAGAAACGGTGAGAATCGAATTCGTAACACCGAGGTTATATATAAACCATCAATGGTTTATATACTTTTCTAGCAACTATCAATTGGGGTTTTGCCCTGTGCCACTTTCTAAGGCTAGCTAAGTTTGTACCAATCCAGAAATCCCTCCATGTTAATTGACTAGTTGTTCTTTCATGCTTCTACTTTTTCTTCTTTTGCATCTTTATGTTTTTTACATCTTTAGAGGACCAACCAACTTCATATATTACTTTCCTTGAGATAATTGTTTCACTTCAATAAAAATTTGAGTCATCTTACTTACATATACCTTGAGGCTTGAACCCTCTATCAAGCATGGTGCTTACAAATGGCTTGTATTAGCTTAATGAAGGCAACTTAAAATGCTTAAAGAGGAAAAGAAAAAGGGGTGGGGAACTGTCTTTACAAAGCCATGACAATTAAGTATTCAGATACATACTCTAACCAAGTCCCTCAAATAATGAAACTCTGAAATAAAAGGGAGGCTAGACATCTCAAAACATACATAACATTTGAAGTTGATTTACATACAGCATAACCCGGTACTAATTTCTCAAGCAACACTGAAAGAACTTGCTGTGTTCTCCACAAATTTTCTTGCTCCCTTAAACCATCTCTTGTCTCCAGCTTGAGCCTTGCAAATGTATAGTTTTCCATCGCTTACAGTTGCTCTAATTATTTGGTGCTTGCCACCTTCATCTCCATCAGCAGTCCTTGTCAGCACAGACAGAACATAGTACTGTTTCCCACCAACCACAGATGTTGAACTCTCTAAGATGTTTGCTGTGGCAACAGCGTTTGCATCGAAACCGCCCTGAGCAATTAAATTTCAGACACATTTAGGACATGCAATGTTATTCTGCTTATTCATATAAAGAACTATTGTAACCCAAAAACTTAAACGTTTAAGTGAAGGCACATTAATAATCATATATTTTATATTATATTTCTCTAACATGTTCAATTTTGATCACTTACCTCAGCTTGAGTTTCGCCAAAGAAGGCCTGTTTTCCTAGTAAATAATCCACCTGCAAAGAGGAAAAATCAAATGTTGAATTTCAGCTTGCAACTGTTGTCATTCTCTTTAAAAATTCATAGACATTATTCTTCTTGAATGGTAAGAACTTGAAACAAACAAACTGTACATTAATTGGGCTATAAGTGTTGCTTATTAAATAGAAAACAAACAGAAGTACTAGTTTAGAACAAACAAAGTTACCTTGGAGAGGAACTCCTCGGGTGGACCATAGTCAGTGATGGACTTCTTGTCAGTTGGAGTTACTGTGACAATGACATTGCTGGTTGTATCAAAGTTATCCTCATATCTAAGAACCTGACCTTGGAACTCAACCTCTTTGCTTGGGTTCCACTTTGCGGGAATGGATAGTTTGAATCCTTCTCCATTGTATGGCAGGAAGTCTGTGTTTGTCTTTGGCTTTCCAAAAACATTGGCTGCAAGTTTTGTTTTCAAAATTTCCAAACCACCAAAATATAATTGCTCAAATAAATCATTTCATATCCATTGTTAGGGATGTTAGGGATCAAATTCATTTCTGGGCCTCCACCTAACAACTTCAACTTTTGAGATAAGTTGATCCTTGACATGACATGGTATTAGAGAATTTATGACCAAATGGTTAAGAGTCTAATAGTTGCCAATTCTTTCAATTATCATTTCTGCACAAGGTTTGAGCAAGCTTATACTTCAAGCCAAAGGGCAATACCCACTCTTGGGAATTCTGTTCAATTTCCTAAACCTATTTGAATTTCTACCTTTGGATTGTATCCTAAGATCACTCAATTTCTTTCATCTTCAACTCTGACAAGTAAAAAGTGGGCAATTCAAAGAAATCAGAAGTAAGTTATACACTTTTGTTGCTACAAACAGAATTTCAGTTCAAAGCAAAGCAAATGCAGTCATTCGGGTGCTCCATGAATTTGCATGGCACCAAAGATAGTATGGTTTCCTAAAGCATAACACTGATCTTTTCAAAGAGATAAGTGTATAAAAAATCAAAATTAAGCAAATGAGTATTTCATTTGAAAGCCAAAGATTATGAGCTGATACCATCATTTGAGTTTTTTTTATGATCTTTCATGGCAATAGAGATATTAATTATGTAATATAACTTGCAAAAGAAAAATACCAGCTTCCCCATAGGCTGCATCTGCAGGAGAGACCTTGGAGCCAACAGCAGCAGCACCAATGAGCAAAGTGAGAGCTAAACGGCGAGAGACTAAGCTACCATCATTCTCTTGGAATGCTTGCTTCTGAGCCTTGCAAACAAGCAGGTTTGGCTTGATGTTTACCACTTGGCGCTGTGATGAGGATCTGGTAGGTGTAGTAAGGGCATGGTGGTGCAAGAAACATTGGGTAGAAGCCATTTTACTCTCTCTTTCACTCTCCTAGTCCCTCTTAGCTCTGTGAAATGGACTATGGTAGGACTTGGAATTTAGTTTAGATGTTGGGGTGTGTATTATGTGCCAATGAGAATGTGGTTAGTTTTGGATATTGGTTTTGGAAGTGGATGATTTGCAAGATTGGATTAGATTTTTGATGTGGGATAAGGTAGTAGAGGCTCTGATTGGTGCCACGTCCTACCACTTGTTCTCATTTTCTTCATGCCATGGCCATTTTGGGACTTTGTCTTTGACTTGTGTAGTCTTGTATTCGTTCAAAAACTGTTTAATATTTTCGTAAAAAACTATAATCAAGTACTTAACCGTGTTTTTATATTCTTTCGATTTACAACTCTTTAATATTTTCCCTTCTTTTTCTTGCCATCGTGGAGTAAATTTTGACCCGAAATAAGAGAAATTCATGATGATCCTTTCATTAAGAAAGTGACATATGATTTTTTTTTTTTTCTTTCTCTCTTCTCAATCTCTCTTTCCTTCACCCCACCCAATTTCTTGTGTGCCCGAAGTGCTAAATTTCATCTCCCGAAATAACTAAAAATAAAATACAAATGTTCTTGCCGATGAAAGAAATTAAAGCAAGGACATGAATGAAAAACGTGAAATGTACTCATTTTTCTGATTTTTTTGTTTATTCTTAAAAGCTACATTCATTTCCTTTTAACTTTTTTTAGAAAAAAACCCTCCCTACAGCTAATGAAATACGATAAACAAATGTTAGCCTTACTCTTGAATTTACCAAATTTTAACCTTTTTATATTTCAATCAGAGTTTATATTTGCAAGCTAATTATGAACTCTATACTTCTTGCAACATTAGTTTTATTTTTATGCAGGTAAATGTATAAGAAATAAAATAGCTGCTTTGTATTTTTCAATAATGTACCTTTCCTTTAAAAAATCATAATTAAGAAATATAAGAGGACTTAATACAAGTATAAATAATTATTGGTGAGCCAAACGAGTATATGAATTGATTATCAATATTAATAATTAATTACTATACTAATCATTATATAATACATATTATTAACTATATATCTATTCATGATTATGTGATGTAAAAGTAGTGTACACAAAATATATCATATTCTATTTACATCTATTTATTGGGGAATCAAAAGACAAAATCCACTTAGGTAAGATCTTATATTTAAGTTTATGTGAAAGTAAAAAAAAATTGAAAAAGCTGAGCTGGTTCCATAAATATAAATATTTTCGACTCAAACAAAATTACCTTCCATAAATTTATGAAAAAAAACCCATACTACTTGAGAAGCCTGTATATCACCGAAATGCGAATCAATCTTCCCATTCTGAAACAACAAGGTTCAAAGATCCACAATATAATTCCTTTTTTTTTTGGTAAATTATATACTTTTAATAAAGTGGGCTTTTGCAAGCCCATTATGCGTTGCTCAAATCTGCTGACGTGGATTGCTGTAAACACTGACCTTAATTTCTGACGTGGATGTTAATGTGGGTTCTAAAACCAAAATAAATTTTTAGTGCAACTGATGCACTAAAAATTAAGTATATCTATAATTTATTTTATGATATATAGATAAAAAATACTATATTATCTAGAAAAAAAATTAAATAACAACTGATAAGATAAAGTGATACTTTTTTATTCACGTGTCATAAAATAAATAATAGATACATTGAATCTTCAATGTATTAGCTGCACTAAAAATTTATTCTTAAAACATAATATATGTACTATGTTCAAGATTAATAAAAGGGTTACGTGCTCCTTTTACCAAAAAAAATAAAATAAAGGTTAAGTGCTCCTTTAGGAAATAAAATTATATTTTTAAAATAAAAAAAATCTACTCGCCTTAAAGAAATAATTATAATATATTTTTAAAAGTATAATAAAATAAAATTATAGTAATCTCAAAAATCAAAATGACTTAGCAGCCTATTAACTCAAAATAATGATAAGAACTTATGCTATTTTTGGTCATGCACGTCAAATGATAGATCATTTTTTACAATGTTAATTACGTGCAAGTCATGGATGCGAGAAAGTGATCTGTGTCCTCAAGGCACTTCTTACTTTATTAAAAACATGTATTAAGTTGTTTATCCAAAATAAAAAAAAACACATGTATTAACTATTAACTATTAACTACTTATTATGGTCCAAAATCACATGTTCGACATCCAACTTTATTAAATGCAACTATTTTTTTTTTTTTTTGAGGTTACAAGGAATTGAATTGCAACTATTTTTTTCCCTCGCGGCATAAATAAGATGAATTTTGCCTAATCTTTGCGAATATATCTAAATTTGACTTGTGTTACTTAAATTCATATTTGTATAGTCAAACACCATCAAAACTTAATAGTTTATAGAACAACTTTTTGTACTTAATTCTCCAAAAATCATGGTGGAGCTATATTTTGTATTTAAAAAAAATTATCACCAAATTAGTCTTTAAAAATTAAATTTGATAATACTTGATCTTTAAAATACTAATTTAATAATAAAAATATTTAAAAATATAAGAGAGTGGTCTCTTATTTTTTCGAGGACGGAGGGATTACTATGATTTACACAATTATGGATACATATATTGTTTGAGATGGGTCCATAAAAGATAAAATAAAATAAAAAAAACTAACTCGTCAAGCTAGGCCCATTCCCGTTTGACATTTAACGTGGCAGCCTAATTCGCTTTCAAAACCCATGCAGAACTTGGCCCGCACCCACAATTTTCATATTGATTGAGTGCTTTAATGGTTCCTTTTATTTTTCTCGATAAAGCAATACTTTATGAATTAAAAATTGTCTAAGTAATTTTAATATTTGTAAAAGCCATATCAGGAAAGTATCTTATTTTAAAATTGATATAAACATATTCTATTGTTACTTTCTAATGAGTTTCTAGAAAATAAAAATATCTCTCTTATGAAACATTTTTTGTATTGATATTTTTTCATATTTAAATATAAGAATTATTTTAAATATATTATCAATGCAAAACTCTTTAATACTTAAAATTAAACTTTAAAGTGTATGTCTACATGTAACGTCCCTCTAATTTATTTTATTATCAAACGCTTAGTAAGAGAGAAAATAATCTCATTTAAAAAGGTTTATAAAATAATACACAAAGGTGATTTTTAATCAAATATAATTTTTACAAATGAGCTATCAATAAATTTTAATTAACAATAATGAAATCTACAAACTTTTTACCTATGTTGCTGGATAGGTAAAAAATTGAGGAGGCTATATCTAATATGTGTATGTATATTTTTTTAAAAGAAAATCAATTATGATATTTTTCTAATAAGGTCCTTTCAGGAACATTTTTTTTTTAAAAGAAAAATAAATGATAGGAGGTTGCATTAGAATATACCACAAGCCTAAATAGTTAAATTTTGAGTTTGAAAATAATATATCAATCTAAGAGTAGCTCAGTTGACACTTGAGCTTCCAAGAATCTTATGTTCAAATAGTATTTCAAGCAAATTCTTGAGAGAAAAAAAGATCAAAGAACGTGCTTTTCTTTTTGATGAAGGATTAGTTTCATCTTTTATTCGATGGCGAAATCCAATGGCCTCGATTAAGGGATAATAGTCGTACTCAGTCATTGTTAGTTTACTTGTAAGTAATGTTACAAAAACTAGTACCCATTTTTTAAATAATATTACATTTGTGAAATTTTAAATAAAATACTTAAAAACTGTCACTAATGAGATTGAACCTAGACCATATAGATTATATTTTATAGAAATTTGCATCTATCATGTCACATGACAGTAAAAAGTTTCCTACACATACAATATTTTGTGGGATCCACACCTTTTAAAGCAAAAAAAATATGTTATCAAAAAAAAATAAAAAAAATTAAGGCACGCAAAACGAATCTCTATAACATTACACAATCATTTTTCCTACAACATAACTATTATAAAATCTTATTTTATAACACTTACCATTAACCTAATTCTAATTATTAGCTACAATACTTCTAATTTTATATTATTATATTTAATTTATGAAGTTTGAATAAGTGATCCAGGTTACTAACTCATATCTCAACCAACTCTTTGGACGGTAATGATAGTTAAAATTTTGATTTAAATTTGTGTTTTTATGATTTTATTATTTTTTTTAATCAAAATAATTTTATCAAAATTTTAAATGCTTTTATATCTTTACAATTTTTTTATATTAAAATTATATGTTTTATAATTTTTTATCCTCCATTTAAAATTTCAATTTTAACTACCATGGCACTGTCACTATCAAAAGTTCCAAAATGAGAAGACTAGCGTAGGTGTTCACGTGTATTTTGATTTTTAGTCTGCAAAATAAAGGTGGTTGCTCAATTATCATTATTTATTATTATGTCCCCACTCCCACTTATTTTATATTTTATATTTTTCAGATACTGTTATCTCAACTCATCCTCTCCCTTATTTCTGCCATTAATCAGAAGCATCTCTCTCTCTCTCTCTCTCTCTCTCTCCACTACTACTTCGCTTCAACTTCCCTCTCCTCACTCTGGTTGGTGAATGAAACCATTAACTTCTCCTTTGTTATTTCCGTTGCTTTTTTTTTTTTGTTAAATTATTTTGGCTGCAATTATTTGATGATTCTTACTTGATACCTTTTTTGGTTCATGCTTTCAATTTTGTTTCTTGTGATTTTTGTTTGTCTAGTGTGAGCTGTAGAATTCACTGAACAACTTTGTAGTTAGGTGTTTGCTGGTGTTTGAGGGAGGGATATAAACTTTGAATTTCTTTGTTTATTGATCTATGTGATATGTCAAATGTGCTTCCTTTATACTTCTGAATTGTGGAAAAAAAGAAAAACTTGCAGTACCCCTTTTTCTTTTGGGCTTTCCCAATTTATAACTATCAAAAGAATTTCCTTTTTCTTTTTTTATCAGTGATGACTCATCAACTTTTCTTTTAGGCTAGAGATCATATTTTTTATTTTATTTTATTTTATTTTTTTTCCTTCTCACCTTTTGGTGTTTTGTGGCTTCTCAAGTCTGGACATATATGTAAGGACATGGGTTTTGTGACCTGCAAGAATGATTTTCCATGGTTGTGGTTCTTTCCCTTCTCTCCTTACCACCAATGAAAAGTAATTGGCATTGCTGTTTTGACCTAGGATAAGTTTCGGGAGTTCTCTTATTGTCTGTTCTCCATTATGGTTTGTGCTTGCATATTATGATATGAAGTTAGTGCCATGAAAGTGTAGCTATAATATTGATTGAGCATGTAAATTTAAGTTTCTGAATTGTCCATTCAAATTCAGGAATCAGGGGTACACCTGGTTCTTTTCATGTTTTTTCCCCTCCTATCATGAAGACCAGCCTGTGATGTGTGTATTGGTTTAGTGATAATAGGCCTAATTTAAACCAGTTGGTTTATGAGAGAGATGGATGAAGTGTTTGTATGGATGTCCTGTTTCCCAACGTAAACATGCTCATATAGGCTGGTTGTGGATGTGGGTGTGGCAGTAGGATGGTGTAGACTAACACCTAAGTGTCCACTGTCTCCAATAGTTTCAAATGCAGGACGAGAAAATGGTTCGGGTTCTAGAAATGGTGGCAAAAAGTCTTGTTCCCATGTCTGAGTAATTATGTGTGTTGTAATTGGGGATGTATTTGTGGTTTTGTTGATTGGTTTATTAGTTCTCTACTTGCTTAGGATGTAGCTATAGCAGTTAACCAGGGTCGACAGCCCAAATGCCCTAGTCATTCACGCTTGGCATTCTGGATCAGATAATGAAAGTGTGAAGATAATAGTTTGTTGTGTTAGTGAAACCCAAACCATACCCAACAGTGAGGCAGAAGATATTCAAATGGTTGCAAGTCCAAAAGAATGTCACTAACAATTTCAGTGAGAAAAACATATTGGGACAGGGAGGTTTTCAAACAGTTTATAAAGGTGAGCTCCATGATGATACAAGAATTGTAGTGAAAAGAATAGACTCTAGGACAATAATTGGAAAGGGTGCCAGAGAGTTTAAGTCTGAAACTGCTATTTTGATAAAATTTTGCCACTAGCATCTTGTTGCTATTCTTGGATACTTTTTCAATAGGAATGAGAAGCTTCATGTGTATGAGTCCATGTCTCAAGAGGTGCTAAGTAGGCATTGTTTTAACTGGCCATATGAAGAAATTAAACCACTGGTGTGGAATGAAGATAAACAATAGCCTTAGATGTGGCAAAGCATTTTGAGGACCTCCATGGCTTGGCCCATCAAACCTTCATACAAAAGGACTTAAAACCTTCAAACATTTTCCTTGGCGATGATATGAAGGCAAAGGTTGCATATTTGGTCTAGTGATTCTCGTTTCTATCAAGGCTTTTCCTTCTAGATCAAGACGCACTAGACCAAAATCTGCAACCTTTTCCTTTATATCATCTCCGAGTCCGAGGAGAATGCTTGAAAGTTTTAAGTCCTTATGTTTGAAGGTTTGATAGGCCAAGCCAAGGAGGTACTCAACACCCCTTGCCACATCTAAGGCAATGGTGAATCTTTTATTTCACTCTGGTGGTTTGGGTTCTTCATCTAGCCAGTTAAAAAAGATGTACTCATTCACAGGAGGTTTCTCATTCCCATCCAAGATGAGCAACAAGATGAGCAACAAGATGCCAGTGGCAAACCTTTGTCGAGACAGCAATTTCGAACTTAAATTCTGCTTCACTCTTCGTAGTTATTACCCCAGACTCCATTCTTTTCCCTGCAATTCTTGTACCATCATAAAGTTCACCATTATAAACTATTGCAAAACCTCTTTGTCCCAATATATTTCTCACTGAATTTGTTAGTGACATTCTGTAACAAATAACCAGATAACAACACAAGTAAAAGGAAACATCTCTGTATTAACTGGAAATGGAAATTACAATAGCTATTCTTAGTCTTTTCACTCAACCAATCACAGACAAATGGAAATTAAACTGAATTACAAGGAAGAAAAACGATAACAGCTACAACCCAGAGCTTTTAGGAGAGGCCCTGGTTCCCTCCCAATTTCCCAAGTCCCAAAATATTCAGATTCTACAATACCCCCTCCTTTCCCTCACTCCCCCCTAATAACAGCCTCCTGCCTTGCATCCTGCGTGTCTCCTTCAACAGAATTGGTATCCTCCACTTCCTTTGCTGAGTCAGCAAAGTTAGTTACGGCTTGGGATCCTCTACTTTTGTTCCCTTTCTTTCTTGCATACACCTGTCCATATTTATTACTTGGCAAGTTGGTGACACATTCTTTTGACTTGTATAAAAATTACCATCTTCCTGCTTCAACCATTTGAATATCTCCTGCCTTACTTTTGGGTATGGTTTGGGTTGAAGCAGTAAACTTGGTAAAGGTGAAACACAGACTGGCTAAATTAATTAATTGTGACAGTTGTTTCTTTTGACTTCTTCATGTTAGAAGGATATAACTTTTTGTCTAATATTGTGAATTGAAGTTAGCAATATGATCTCTTCTTATGTTGTGGTTGAGGAAGAAAAAGAAAAAAAAAAAAACCCTAAATGGTGATTGATGCTGCCATGGTGTTATGCATAATAGCTATTTCATACACTGCTTAATGATGTTCTTTTTGTTCTTAGAAGTACAGGAACAATGTCTGACAAAATCACAGCTGAAAATCTTCTAAACACTCTCGTGGAAACAATTGCTGAGAAGAAAAAATCTGTATCATTCTTTGAGGAAGAGAAGTCAAACTCAGTGAGCTCCCAATTCAATAGACTCTTTGGACGCCAGAAACCCGTGCACCATCTTTTAGGGGGTGGAAAATGTATGGTAGTTTAGTCAATTTCCTGTAAAATCCACCGTATGGATCTCCACTTTTAAAACTTTTTTCCCCTTTGAATGATGTAGCTGCTGATGTCTTGTTGTGGAGGAACAAGAAGATCTCTGCTAGCATTTTAGCAGCTGCAACTGCTATATGGGTGCTTTTTGAATGGCTTAATTATAATTTCCTAACTCTTTTATGCTTTGCTCTGGTTCTTGGCATGCTTGCACAGTTTCTTTGGATAAATGCTTCTGGCTTGTTGAGCAGGTTATCCAAGCATATTTAGATCTCTTTTTTTGTTGCCTAATTTTCTGTAAATGTGTTATACAATTATACAGCTTTAATTATGTACGCTTTGTTCTCTGTGGTTACAGAAAGCCCTCTAAAGTTCCCCGATTTGTTCTCCCAGAAGATTTCTTTGTGAATATTGCAACTGCAGTTGGTACTGAGGTTAACCGTGGTTTGAGGTTTCTTCAAGATGTTGCATGTGGAGGAAACCTGAAGCAATTTCTTCTTGTATGTTTGCTTGCTTTGGTATTTTTATTTATAATCCAGATTCATGCTTAAAACATAGCTTACAAGTTACACTAATTTTTCAGCTTATGAACCTGAGTATTCACTTCAGTTCTTGTTTCTCAATGAAATTCTTTTTTGTTGTTGTTTGCTACAACATCTTTCATTTGTGATAAGTTATTGATATTTGTCATGGAAAATGGCAACTGTTGGCTTGTCGTTTGAATTTCTAGTATGATAGGCTCTATTTTTAAACTGAAAAAATGCAAAAAGAGATAAGTTTCTTGCATTTGTGGGTACATGTCAAGTCAACTAAATCTTATGTTACTGTAGCTTTAAGAGTCATTGGTGTTAAGCTGTCTGATATGGCAATAATCAATCAATAAGTATAGAATGTGTTGTTATGCCTGATTATGTCTTGCTAAAGATGTGAACATCACTGTGCAAAGAGAATGTTGGCAGGAGGTATGATATATTGATGTACACTGAATTGGGGAAACAAGGATTTTAATATTCAAGGGTCAATAAATGGCTTTGTTGTTTTACTTGGTTTGGAGTATTATATGACAACTAATCAATGTTGGTGGTTCTATTGAGTATCTTGAATGCACAACCATGATGATGCACTTTCTACTTTACCATAAGTTATATAGCTTGTTTATAACCATTTATACACCTTATTATTATTTTATTTTTATCGTTTGTAGCAGAGAAAAAATATCTGTACTTTTCTGTGGAATTTGTCATAATGGTTAAAACATCCCCAGGCTGTATTCGGATTATGGGCTGGTGCGGTGATTGGGAGCTGGTGCAATTTTGTGACTGTCCTGTATATTGGTGAGAGACCTGCTTTCGTTTCTTCTGTTGATAGAATGTCTTAACCAAAATGTTTTCTTAAATTACTAATTAAGTAGACAAAGTTTGAAAGATATTTTTCTAATTTCAACTAATAATATCAAATGTTTTCTCCCTAAAACGTGAATATTTGAAATTATAGAAATTGTATTATATTACCATTTCTTGAATGGTAAAGGCGTGAAGCCCACCTTATAATATGCTTGTACGATGGATGCTAGGGATGATCAAAACAACATATTAATTTTGAAGGTCATATAATTTGTCTGCACCACAACTCTGTAGTCTAGAAAAGCATTCAAAACATGTTAAATTCCTGTTAAGATGCAGAGGTGATGGAGTTTGGACAGTGTAACATGAAACACATGCAAATGTACTCCTTGTTAAGTGTTTTCTGACATAATATGCCATCTCAAGAGCCGAATCTTATTTGGGAACAATGTATTAGTCAATGCTTATGTATATTGTTTTGTGGGATCTATTTCTTCCCAAAGTTCAATTGGATGCTATGATACCTTTTAGAAGCTCAACAATGATGTTTTTCCTTCTAGTTGGTTTTTTATGTCATACTTGATTGGTAAAACTCATATTGTAATGTTCTAAGGTTTTGTTGCTGCACATACACTCCCTGTTCTCTACGAAAGGTACGAGGATCAAGTTGACAACTTTGTGTACAAGGTCTTTGATCAGATGCGAAATCAATATCAGAAGCTGGATGCTGGTTTGCTTAGCAAAATTCCCAAGGGAAAGCTCAAAGGAAAGAAATTTGAATAAAGTCATCCTTATGTAAATGGTTTGAATTTCATTACCCATTTCTTAGTTAAGATGGCAATTGGGAAAGCCTGAAGGAAGTAACTAGTGAAAAAAAGATTTCTGACATGGTTTTTATTAGGACACAATTGCAATTATTGCTTCTGCTTTGGCTTTAATATTTCCTTTTTCTATGATGTGGTCTTCAAAATTTGTGCTCTCTAGTCTCATTATTTGACTGGGAAGGGTCTTCATTAACGACTGCTGCAGGCCGAGTTTGATATTCTCCCAGGCGTAAAATAGAAATCAGGTACAGTTAAGGAAACAGATAAGAACACTTGCATGGAAATGGAAAAACTCTTTAAATTGAGTTTGTCTGTGCAATGCACAAGGGTCTATCTGTAAAAAATCAATTTAACCTAAAAGCTTAAGCTGTTGGGTGAGATTATATTAATGATTTTATATATCTCAACATGTCCTCTCGCACGAGAATTCATTGGGTTTGAAGGGTCAACAATGCACACACTCACTTACCTGTACGAAGAAAGAAATTTCACTAGAAAGAAAGTGGGGGCGGTGAGGATTGAATCCGGTACACCGAGGCTTTGATAACATGTAAAAGAATCACTTTAACCCAAAATCTTAAGGTGTTGGGTGAGGGTTTTTTTTAATGATTTATATTATATTCTCTAACACACACCTTCACGCAAGAGCCCTTTAGACTTGAAGCGTGGATATGACACAAGTCCATTATTTGCACAAGTCCATTTTTTGGTCTGGTTTGTGATTTTTTTAATTTCACCTGAAAGTGGGAGGCGGTGAGGATTGAACTCGTGATCTCATGATCACTGAAGCTTCAAAGTACGTTGTGATTTTACCTCATTGAAATTTAATGTGAATACATATTTACTTGTGCACTTTAGGTAAGTTAACTTTAAAGAAATTTTTTTTATAAAACAGATGCTTGAAAGATTTAGTGGTTCTCAATTTGGTAGCATAATTTTTAGTTTTCCCAATTTAATCTTTTTTTTTAATTTAATTTTTTTGTATGTGAAAATCCTTGAATGTTTTAATTTGTTTCTTTTGGGCATTCCATACAACTGGAATACCTCAAGCCCAAGACGCTTTAGACGTGTTAAAAGGCCGGATCGAAGCAAATTAAAAGATTGAAGGATATAATTTAGAAAATTGAAGTTATAGAAACCAAATTGAGAAAAAGATTCCTTAGTACTTAGGTAGAGTAAGTTTTGTCGAAAGTAGAAAATCAATTGGATACGCTAATTGTGGAAAGCCACGACCTGAAAAGTCTAAAGCAAAATAGCGTCTTAAGTCCTAGAGGTGTTTCTTGGGGAGTTAACCACAAACCAACGATAACGTTTATACTGACTGCAGTGCAGTGAGGTCCATGAGCATTATCTGTTGCTACTGTTTTTTTTATTATTATTATTCAATGGATTTGTTTGTAGTCTATTATAGTTTGCGCAAGAGCATTGATTCTAAAAGGTTAAAGATCTGTGAAGTTTTATCATAACAAGTTTTTAAACTCAGTGCAAGAAGCATTTCAAATTATTTTAATCATCTATGCTGTCTAAGTAGGTTTTGATAAATTTTTAGGATTTTATTTTTAAAAGTTTTCTTAATGAAATTTTGATTATAACATAAAATAAGATAAACTGCTAAGATAGGAAAAAAGCTGAGAATTAAGCCGAGAAGTAAGATGCAATTCTTACGCACTCGTAATAATATTTTTTAAAATAAATCAAACTATATGCAATATATATCATGCTCACAATATAATTTAAAAATATATTTCGACTTTGTACCTTCCACGGAAAAGAAAAATCTCCATTTAAGTTTTTTTTTTTAATTTTTTCTTGAAATTATTTTCATATCAAATTGCATATGCAAAAGGCAAATCCAATATATTACGGTGGGAAGGTCAACATTTAGTATTTAAGCACATATATCTTACAATATTATTAGGTGCCTCCAGAATGAGCATAAGCTAGAAAAGGACCGAATGTCACATTACTCAGGTATAATAAAAAATTCATTCTAAATAAAAAATCGTATGCTTTTAGATTGAGCAAAACATATATAGTCCATAGAACCAGAAAATACGAATAAGCTATTATTAAGCTGAAACTTGACCTATAAAAAAATGTACATATATAAGTCTCTGCTTTAGAGCCATACACCTATTTGAAAAGTCACGAGGGAAATAAACAAGCACACTCACCTACACAGTTACTCCCTTTTTTCCTGTGTGTACACGACATCACAACATTATTTGACCATATCATGTCGCGTAAAGACCTTAACCCTTAGGGGTAATTACATTCACCTTTTTGTAAGATGTTTGGGATATAACATTCCAGGTCATCCATGTGCACGTGACAATGAAACTCAAGCGTGTGTGCAAACTCTTAACTCCACGTGTTGAATGCGTTCTGCAACAAGAAGCCATGAGTTTTGCTCAAGTTTTGGGCCCTCACTGTCCATTAGGGAAATATGTATGGAGAGAAACCTCACCAAGTCATCCATTGCCTCCTTTGCACTCATAAACAATGTCACATTCTAACAACAAAACAAAACCAAAAAAACCTTATTGGTGGCACACAAAGATAGAAAAAAGCAAAACTTATCTATCAGCAAATCTGGAATATATGTTAAAAGTTTCCCATATATCATTTTCTTTTATTTCTCAAATACACAATTTTCAAGTGTATAAATGACGTGGGTTGAAGACTCATGACTTCATCTTCAGCAGTTTACAACTGAGGTAGTGTGTATTTTGTAGTGTGATTCTGTCATCTGTTCTGCAATGGTGGTCTCTAGTTGCATGGAATCTGGTCTGCACATGTTTCTCACGGGCAATGATGGGGCTGCAACTGAATTCGGAAGCTTATGCATTCAAAATGAAGGTGATGACGACGACGACGACGACGATGCTATTGATATAGCACCAGCAGCATAATTGATTTGGTACCATATATCAGTATAATAGGAGGATGAAGAGTTATAGCGCTTGTTATCAATGGCAAACGCACTTTCTGCCCTTGTAGAATAAGAGATGGAGTATTTATATATAGTTATATAATCTGTGTAAGCTTCTCTAGTCTTGCTTACATCTGTTTTTTCTGAAATTTATATTAGTATAGATAGTCATAGTAGTAGTGTTTTGTTTACATCCTTATTTTTCTGACGTAGCATATGAAGTTTTTTTAGTAATTAAGGTTTAAATCCTCTCTCCCTTTGACTCTATATTATCTGAGTATGTGAGTATCATATATACATATATTTAATTTTGACTATTAACATGATATCAGATAATTATAATTTTTTTTTTCTTTCGGTTGATTGCAGTCATATATACTTGTAATGGGCTGAAAACAAATTATGATGTATTTGACATGTGAACCAATTATAAATGGTTTTCTTTAATTAACTCTATCCGATTAAGAGTTTGCAATGTGTATCTCCCAGTTCTTTTTTTTCTGTTGAGCTGTGGCTGGCAGAATCAAATTCAAGGAATTAACTTACTCATCAGTCTAAATGATGGCTGTCATAATTTAGCAACGTATATATAAACATACAAAATTTAAATCAAGCTCGTGCAAAGAAGAAAATTAATCAAAGGTTGTGACAATTGCTTAGCCATCTTCTATTCTTCTTTCCAAATGACAGAAAGCCAGCGATCCCCTTCCACCCTTCAATCACAAAGGACAATCCTATCAACATGGAAGAAATATACAAGCGGAAAAAGGAGAAGAGGGGCGTTGCCACCAACAAAGCAAAGCACCGACATGCAAATTTATTTTAAAAAAATGTGTATCGAATATACGTCGGACACCTACACACTTTGATATGTTCCGACACATATATGCGATTAACATTTTGGAATACACGGTCAAAGTTTCGACACGGGATCAACTTTTTTTGACATATTTTTTTTAGATCTAAATTTTATTTTACTAACTAAACATGAAAAAATAATTTATAAATCAATTTTTTTCTGTTATAGAATTTGATATGAAAATTTAACAAGGTAAAAAAATTATATTTATATTATGAAATTTGAATATTTGACTGATTATATGACTTATTATAGACCGTTATATATATTAAATATAAATTAAATTATATATATTAAAATATTATTTAATATCAAAACGTGTTCTAATATGTCAAAATATAACATTTTTAGAATTAACGTATCAACATGTCATATCGTGTCATGTTCTGTATCAATACCGGTGTAACGTTGGTTGCCACTAACACTTTGCATGGCAATATTGACAAAATATTTCGGATGTGGTTTGATCTATCTTGAGAGTATCCTAATCATATATTGTTTTCTTTTAAACCTCTATAATTAATTTTTAGTCTTATTGTTTGCTCCTCGGCTTTACTCCAAAAGGTATATATGGCTTAAAAAGATCCGGTTGAGAAAGAGTCAAAAAGACCTTATAGAATTATTTGGGGTTATCTGAAAATATAAAAGCTTCCGCTTAAATGCGTATCATTTAAAAAAAAGTAAAGTTGTATCATTTTAAGTGAGAGAAAGCGATAGATAAATAAAGAGAGAGTGGATAAAAAAAATAAAGATACGGGTCTCACCTACAAAGCACGAACACGCTCCGTGAGAAAAAATTTGCGTGTCGGACACGTGTCCGACACGAACACGCTCGGACATGCGGTCAACATTTGCGGACACGTAATTAATTCTCCGACACGTTTCGACATGTTTTCTAAATCATGTTGGTACCTGTTTGTTTGCTATTGGGCCAAAAATATAACTTGCTGTTTTGCTAAGGCCCATATATTGATATCTGTTATATCAGCTGCATCACAAATACGCTGCCGTTTTTGGTTAAGTTGCAATTGATGATAATATAATACCTATTTTCCCTATAACACTAGCTTGAGATTTTTTCAGTGATAACGTGGCATACATTTTTCTGATTCAGTTTGTTTTCTCTCTCTCGGTTCATTCCTTTTCTCTAAACAAAAGGGGAAACTTAGGGTTTGTATCAAAACCTGTGAGAACGATTTGAGTGTGAAAACTTGTGAATCTCATCTCAAGGCTGTTGAGAAAGTTGTTCCTATTACGAAGATACATAATTTAATCGGTTTACTTTCTGGAGATTCTTGCAAACGTTGGTGAGGAGGTGTTGCATCGTGGAGCTTCTCTTGGTCAAGAAGAGGTTGTGAGCTCTCATGGAGTAATCCACGGTTTTG